AGGCGACGGCAATTAGGTGAGTACACACACACATACAGAGGTAATAAAGCCTTATGTAACTTCAACTTGCAATGTGTTGCGCAGTGCAAGCTCCTCCAAGGCTCGTCTCCCTACTGAAAATTAATGTAAAAACTTCCGGTGAAAATTTAAGAAATCTCCCTTCGAAAATTTAAGAAATCTCCCTTCGAAAATTTAAGAAATCTCCCTTCGAAAATTTAAGAAATCTCCCTTCGAAAATTTAAGAAATCTCCCTTCGAAAATTTAAGAAATCTCCCTTCGAAAATTTAAGAAATCTCCCTTCGAAAATTTAAGAAATCTCCCTTCGAAAATTTAAGAAATCTCCCTTCGAAAATTTAGGGCAAGAACCTTTGGAAAATTTAGGGAAGCAACATTGCTAAACACAAATGCACTCAGAGGAAACTAATGGAGGGAAAAATATATGTTGAATATTGATTGCAGAGATTAACAATAACTTTGGTAGATCCACAGGAGCAGTGATTAGGGTTCGAACCTATTCGCTGGGGTGTTCCCAGATGAACGCTCTATAGACCAGATCACACACTAGAAGGTGAAGGGACGACGACGACGTTTCGGTCCGTCCTGGACCATTCTCAAGTCGATTGAGAACGGTCCAGGACGGATCCAAACGTCGTCGTCCCTTCACCTTCTAGTGTGTGGTCTGGTCAACATACTTCAGCCACGTTATTGTGACTCATCGCCTTGAACGCTCTAGTCAACCACGTCACGACATGGTCAAGAGAATTGCAACCTGGGATACTATGCAGGTGAGATTCCACTGACAAAAATAAAACATGAAAACACAGATAAAGGCAACTTTTGGATGAAAGGAAAACGAAGCAAAGAGAGAAGAAATGTGGAGTAAACGCCAAAAGTAAATATTGGAAAAGATAAAAAGACGGATCCAAATTAGAGTCACAAAGAGATAAGGGCTTAAGGGAAAGGAGAACACACAATGGGTTATTAATATAGATTGATTAAAATCCTTTTCGATATTTGAACGAATATTTTATTTCTTCGACTTGATAGATTACAGCACTTTGAGAAGTGCCGACAGTGTCCATAAACCCGCCAAACACACACCGAAACTACGACGTTGGTACAACGTTCGAACAAGTTTTAACACCTAACCAGTTATAACAACCAATATAGCAAGTTGTAACAACGTTCTAATACGTCATAAACACGTTAAGCCAAGATGTAACAACTTTATTACAAGTTGTAACAAGTTAGGTTAGGTTGGTTAGGTAGTCGAAAAACAATTAATTCATGAAACCTTGGCTTATTAGGCAAATCGGGGCTTGCATAGTAGGCTGAGAAGTGCGTTCTGGCTACTAGGTACGACATATATATATATATATATATATATATATATATATATATATATATATATATATATATATATATATATATATATATATATATATATATATATATAGAATTCACAAACTAATTGTTATGTTTTGATACGTGGCCTTTCGAAATCAATATTATCTTTCTGCTGAATATATATCTAAAATAATAGATATGACCAATTACTCTCGGGTAAAAAAAAAACAATAGATTATCTTTGTTTGTATAGTCCATATGTTGATTTTTAATTAAAAATAGCATGCCAGCAAATCACTTTCATTTTAAACTCACGAACTAATCATTAGCTGTCGGTCAAAATTAATATTTTAATTTTGAAGTCGTCTTTGCATTGCAGTTAATTCATTAAATCAGGATACAGTAGGCTAGACTTAGGATAGATTTGGCTTGATTAGATTAGGATTTGCTTGACTGTGTTTACTAGTTGTGTTTTTGCGGGGGTTGAGCTTTGCTCTTTCGGCCCGCCTCTCAACTGTCAATCAACTGTTTACTAACTGCTTTTTTTTTTTTCCCACCCCACACACACATACACACCCCAGGAAGCAGCCCGTGACAGCTGACTAACTCCCAGGTACCTATTTACTGCTAGGTAACAGGGGCACTTAGGGTGAAAGAAACTTTGCCCATTTGTTTCTGCCACGTGCGGGAATCGAACCCGCGCCACAGAATTACGAGTCCTGCGCGCTATCCACCAGGCTACGAGGCCCCTGTGGTAAGTCAGTATAGGCTTAGTAAAGGTTAGGATAAGATTAGCTAAGATAAGATTAGTGGCTTGCCAGTTTTGCTTAGTTATAAATGAACAAACTTGTCGTTCGCTCAGAATAAGTTATTCTAATTGTTTTAATTAATGACAGGTATGGAAACAGGTTTGAAATTTGTATGACATGGGGCCTCGTAGCCTGGTGGATAGCGCGCAGGATTCGTAATTCTGTGGCGCGGGTTCGATTCCCGCACGAGGCAGAAACAAATGGGCAAAGTTTCTTTCACCCCTGAATGCCCCTGTTACCTAGCAGTAAATAGGTACCTGGGAGTTAGTTAGCTGTCACGGGCTGCTTCCTGGGGGTGGAGGCCTGGTCGAGGACCGGGCCGCGGGGACACTAAAGCCCCGAAATCATCTCAAGATAACCTCAAGATAACCTGACATTATCAAATATATGTGTGGCAGGCGCAGCTGGCCACATAAACCACACACATATTAAATATGTTTAATGGCCTAACATAACAGTCTGATAGATCACTATCCTAACAACTTAACTGTTTGATTCTGAACGTTTTTCCACACTTAGGAAACACAACTTGGCAAACGTTAGTTAATCACCTTGGCAAACGTTAGTTAATCACCTTGGCAAACGTTAGTTAATCACCTTGGCAAACGTTAGTTAATCACCTTGGCAAACGTTAGTTAATCACCTTGGCAAACGTTAGTTAATCACCTTGGCAAACGTTAGTTAATCACCTTGGCAAACGTTAGTTAATCACCGAATCATTAAAACATAATCGACGAGACAATATTTTGCAACATCAGCCCACTCTGCTAGAATGAGAGTATTTATTGCAACGATGAAGTCAATAGTACAAACAAATCGTTTTATTATTATTATTATTATTAATATTTTGTATTATTATTTTATACCACAGACGTGGCCAGACATTTACAATGCTAATCAGCATATTTACATTTTCTTCTGTCCTCCATAGACAAGGTTAGAGATCTGTTGAACATGTAGTTCAGTGATTTGTTGAACAATTACACTTTTGTTGCAATGAATTTGAACAAACCTATTTTTTTATATCTTTATATTGCTAATAAAATTTAACCTAATTACTCTAGGCCTAATGAACGCTATACGAGGCCTAATATAATATATATATTTGCTCTACTAGACCTAGAAATATTTAGTTTTGAACATTTAGGAATATCTAGGAATATCTAGGAATATCTAGGAATATCTAGGAATATCTAGGAATATCTAGGAATATCTAGGAATATCTAGGAATATCTAGGAATATTTATTTTATTCTTCATTTTTGTCGAATCCTATAAAATAAGTAGAAAATATGGCTTACTAGGCTCCATCGCTACATATGGGTACACACCTCCATATTATTACAAAACTAACAAAACAGAAGAATGGGTGTCCTAAAAAATACATAAAATATATTAACATTACATGAATATATTAATGTATTATATAATATATTAATATATTAAGTATTAATGCATTAACATATAAACCAGCCTCCCTTACATGTCCTATATTTAATGACGTGTTATAGAAACGGGGAACAAATTTATATTTCAATCCCTTTGTTTAGGTGAGAATAGGTAAAAGAGGATAGATGTTAGGGCGTCGGCTCTTTACAACCGATACTATCCTGCCCTTCCGTCCTGCCTCTCCATTTCAAAGGCATTCCTGGCGATGGTTGGGTGGATAGATAAAATTTGATCCCGAAGCCTTGAGGTTTGGACGTGTCAGGAATTAATCTTTAATGGAACGTAACAAAGTGAATAGACTATATTCTGTTATCTTGAGGTTATCTTGAGAGGATTTCGGGGCTTTAGTGTCCCCGCGGCCCGGTCCTCGACCAGGCCTCCACCCCCAGGAAGCAGCCCGTGACAGCTGACTAACACTCAGGTACCTATTTTACTGCTAGGTAACAGGAGCATAGGGTGAAAGAAACTCTACCCATTGTTTCTCGCCGGCGCCTGGGATCGAACCCAGGACCACAGGATCACAAATCCAGCGTGCTGTCCGCTCGGCCGACCGGCTCCCAAAAGAGTTGGGTAAAGTTTAGTTACTGTGAACTTAGTGAAAAAGTGGTTGTTTAATGTGAAGTTTTGAAGGGACAAGGATCTTATTGACTGCTTGGGAACTTTTTCAGTGTACTCACCTAGTTGTACTCACCTAGTTGTGCTTGCGGGGGTTGAGCTCTGGCTCTTTGGTCCCGCCTCTCAACCGTCAATCAACAGGTGTGTGAGATGCAGTTCGTATGCACGGGTCGTTTCGTGACTTCTCGTTCGTGTTTTGAGTCGTTCCGTGACCTCTCGTTCACCAGTGTTACAGGACGTAACACTGTACTCTCCTACAGTCTGAAATACAAACTATTGTAACGATTTAGCTTATGCTGTGAAAAGAGAGTTTATAAATCACAATCGACTTGAGAATGGTCCAGGACGGACCGAAACGTCGTCGTCCCTTCACCTTCTAGTGTGTGGACTGGTCAATATATAAATTTACTTGTAATTTAAACCTTTGACACATCTCTATGACTCCTGCCGGCCGTAACCCGCCTACTTAGCATGATACAGCCATTAACCTATCATGGTTAATACACTACTTGCGTAAATCTCCAATCCACGAGTTTATACTAGAATCGTACATGTTCGAATTCTCAAATTCATGTTTGTTATTCGTGCTGCTACTGTTCCGTCTAGGGTGAGTCTACTCACTCCTGGAGCTACAGATAGGCTCACGCATGCACCTGTTCCAGGACCTGTTCCAGCACCTGGGCATCCGTCCCTCATAATACTCCCTCGCACGGTATGTATAGTGAAGCTGATGTTCGATTGTACTTTATGATTGTGTTAACCTAAGACTCACAGTCTCAGGTTAGAGCCTTATTCCTTCATCACTATCATGGAACCTCTGTCCTCTTTCACTATCCTGGAACCACAGACCTCCATACTGGAACCACAGACCTCCATACTGGAACCACAGACCTATATACTGGAACCACAGACCTTCATACTGGAACCACAGACCTCCATCCTGGAACCACAGACCTTCATACTGGAACCTCAGACCTTCATACTGGAACCACAGACCTCCATCCTGGAACCACAGACCTCCATCCTGGAACCACAGACCTTCATACTGGAACCACAGACCTCCATCCTGGAACCACAGACCTCCATCCTGGAACCACAGACCTCCATCCTGGAACCATAGACCTCCATCCTGGAACCACAGACCTCCATCCTGGAACCACAGACCTCCATCCTGGAACCACAGACCTTCATACTGGAACCACAGACCTTCATACTGGAACCACAGACCTCCATCCTGGAACCACAGACCTCCATCCTGGAACCACAGACCTCCATCCTGGAACCACAGACCTCCATCCTGGAACCACAGACCTCCATCCTGGAACCACAGACCTCCATACTGGAACCACAGACCTTCATACTGGAACCACAGACCTTCATCCTGGAACCACAGACCTCCATCCTGGAACCACAGACCTTCATCCTGGAACCACAGACCTTCATACTGGAACCACAGACCTTCATCCTGGAACCACAGACCTCCATCCTGGAACCACAGACCTCCATCCTGGAACCACAGACCTCCATCCTGGAACCACAGACCTCCATCCTGGAACCACAGACCTCCATCCTGGAACCACAGACCTTCATACTGGAACCACAGACCTTCATCCTGGAACCACAGACCTTCATCCTGGAACCACAGACCTCCATCCTGGAACCACAGACCTCCATCCTGGAACCACAGACCTTCATCCTGGAACCACAGACCTTCATCCTGGAACCACAGACCTCCATCCTGGAACCACAGACCTTCATCCTGGAACCACAGACCTTCATACTGGAACCACAGACCTTCATCCTGGAACCACAGACCTCCATCCTGGAACCACAGACCTCCATCCTGGAACCACAGACCTCCATCCTGGAACCACAGACCTCCATCCTGGAACCACAGACCTCCATCCTGGAACCACAGACCTTCATACTGGAACCACAGACCTTCATCCTGGAACCACAGACCTTCATCCTGGAACCACAGACCTCCATCCTGGAACCACAGACCTCCATCCTGGAACCACAGACCTTCATCCTGGAACCACAGACCTTCATCCTGGAACCACAGACCTTCATCCTGGAACCACAGACCTTCATCAATGTCGTGACATCTCTGTTTTTATCAATATCTTGCAATCTCAATCAATTAGTATCCAGGATAGCAGTCGTCCAACAATATTCTGGTGCCTGGATACTCAGTTAATATCCTGGAACACGACAATATCAAAAGACAGAACATTCGAAATTGTCTGAAAAACTCGCAAAGTTAGTGAATGCCGAGATGGTTTTCAGTTTGTTTCAAGTCTTTTTCTATAGGATCTTGAGGTTATCTTGACATGATTTCGGGGCTTTTTTTTAGTGTCCCCGCGGCCCGGTCCTCGACCAGGCCTCCACCCCCAGGAAGCAGCCCGTGACAGCTGACTAACACCCAGGTACCTATTTTACTGCTAGGTAACAGGGGCATAGGGTGAAAGAAACTCTGCCCATTGTTTCTCGCCGGCGCCTGGGATCGAACCCAGGACCACAGGATCACAAGTCCAGCGTGCTGTCCGCTCGGCCGACCGGCTCCCCTATAGGATATCCACATATTTCCCGTTTCCTCATTTGCTTCAGCCCAAGAAAAGTCTGAGGGAAATTTTCTTGACCTATGACTGAAAATTTGTTTAATTTCCAAAAGTTAGGGACTTTGAGAGGATAATATTTGCCTTTGCATTCATATATTCCAAAAATATGGATTGTGATATCACACTCCTATCTTGTTATCTTATAGCCTTATACTTGCTATCCAGTGCTTAATGGATTTTCTACACTAACAATACCATTATTAATGGATTTATGTTCCATTTTCATGTTAATTTTAACGTGAGTTTCATTAATCCAAAGTGAATTTCAGTGACTCTTGAACATGTTTGTGCTGCTTCGAGAGCTGCTCTATCTTGGTTACTGGGATCGAGATGCATTTTATATGGCAATTGACACGTTGGTGAGCCTCCAAGTGCTGTTCTGAGGCTGAGCAACAGAGCCAAGTGCTCTGTTAAGTGCCTCAGTAATGCTATTTCTTCCCTCTGGAGCCTTACAGAGCCCGGAGCTCTAATTCATCTGCTGGAGACTCTCAGAGCGCAGGGCTCATCCCATTCACTAAAGGAAATGTGAGACAAAAAGGCCATTACTCAATGAAGAAGGACCACCTATCTATAACGACCAGAGATAAATATCTGGTAGTGAATATACCACCAAACTTAACTCCGGAGGCTCATTTAAAAAGGATAACGTCAGCAGCATACTCTACACTAGCAAAAATTAGAAAATCATACAGGAACTTAATTAAGCAGGCACTCAGATCGCTGTTCAAGCTACGTGAGACTAGTTTTAGAGTATGCAGCCCACTGTGGAGTTCACAAATCTTTCTAAATACAAAAGTAAACTCGGAAATGTTAAGAGGTTTGCAACGAGGCTCGTTGCAGAATTGCGAGGGAAGGAGGTATGAAGGGATTGAAATATGTAAACCCAATGGCGCTAGAAAAGAGAAGAGAGAGAGGGGGAAACATGATCCAGACGTGTAAAATTTATAAGGGGCTTGACCGTGGAAAAAGAGTGTACATGTTCGCCTTGAATACCAATGACACAAGAGGGCATAGAAGGCGGCTTGAGTCTCTGGTGAATCATAGAGATGTTAGACAGTTTTCAGGCGAGGAGTCGCAATAACGTGGCTGAAGTATGTTGACCAGACCACACACTAGAAGGTGAAGGGACGACGACGTTTCGGTCCGTCCTGGACCATTCTCAAGTCGATTCAGACAGTTTTCCTTTAGCGTAAGAGTGGTAGGACAATATTATAAACTGATGGAGCAGTTTGAAGCAGAATTAACTATTTAAACAAATGATTGGACATGGAAATAGGCCAAAAGTCATATTGCTTTGGATAACTGCTGGTTAGAAAGGCGGGGTCGAAGAGCTATCACCCCTTTCCTTCAGGCATAAATAATATATATATATATATTATAACAGTGTCAGACCACGGAGGAAAATTGAAACAGGAATTTCCTTAAGTACTTTCGTATATTAATACCTCTTCAGAAGGAGTATTCATATGTGAAAGTACTTAAGGAATTTCCTGTTTCAATTTTCCTCCGTGGTCTGACACTGTCACATTTTTAATCACGTGTTTATTTTTCGTGATCTACACACACACACACACACACACACACACACACACACACACACACACACACACACACACACACACACACACACACACACACACACACACACACACACACACACACACACACACACGACCAATGCTCGATCCTGCAAGCACAAATAGGTGAGTACAAATAGGTGAGTACACACACACACACACACACACACACACACACACACACACACACACACACACACACACACACACACACAAGTTATACCCCAAAGAAAACATGAAATACAAGCATGTTTGCAACACCCCAAACATCAACATACAAAATTGGCTTGCAAGCATTCGCGCCATAAACAGGTTTTGCAACATGCTCCGTTGATCGGCCTTGGCCGTAAATCTGCGAGGCTTCCGTGTTTACTGCTCCTTGAATTGTTCCGCGAGATTGTGCGCGTCTCCGAGCGAGGAATCTGCGTCCGATTGGCTAATAGGCGGGATTGGTGCTTGTGTTACGACTTGTGATGGGTTCGAATCCCCCGGTGGAGACGCTAGTGGAGGTGGACACTTGTTCAGTGGTTAAGGACAGGGGGCTAAGTGGCGCCGAGTAGGTCTTAAGTGAAGGGCAGATGGTAAGTAGATATGTGTAAGTTGTAAGTGTCGATGAATCAACCCGTTCTCGCACTTTCGTATAGTCAATATTGACTTATTAAATACGTGCATATGTGACATACTAAACATACTAGTTTACCTTGGAAAGCTTCATAGAAAACATCGACCTTACCTAACCTTCTTAGTATGTTCAGATAAGCATCTTATTGCTTCGTAATTACACCTATACCTATAATAGGTTAAGTAATAATTGTAATTACGAAGCAATAAGATGCATATCTTAACATACTAAGAAGGTTAGGTAAGGTCGGTGTTTTCTATGAAGCTTTTCAAGGTAAACTAGTATGTTTAGTATGTCACATACGCACGTATTTAATAAGTCAATATTGACTAGAAGAAAGTGCGAGAACGGGTTGGATGAATAGGAGCTAATGGGTACAGGGCAGATGAAAGTGGCTTCAGAGGGCCACTGAATCATCCCAACTTTGCATCCCAACTCTTGCTTACTCATCCTCAATTCTTGCTTACTCAATCTCAAAACTCATCACCCTTCACATACTAACCCACTACCCACCCCTCTGACCCACCTGCCCACTGCTAACACGTCCTGAACAAAAGAGTAGCGAGAAAATGGCCCCACCTTGGTACAGTGGGAGCATCCCAGTGTCCAGACATCTGTGAGAGATGCAGCATCCAGCAGCCTTCTTGTCCTGACTGGGAGTAGACGCAGCATCCATGTACTCGCCTAGTTGTGCTTGCGGGGGTTGAGCTTTGGCTCTTTGGTCCCGCCTCCCAACTGTCAATAAACTGGTGTTCTGAGCTTATTGGGGTCTGATCTACATTTGAAAATGTGTATGGAGTCAGCCTCCACCACTTCACTGACTAATGCATTCCTTCTATTAATAACTACTCTGGCACGGAGCAAAATCATCCTAATGTCTCTGTGGCTCATTTGGGTACTCAATTTCCACCTGTGGTCTTTCTTGTGCCAGTACCACCAGTGTTAAATAGTGTCTCTTTATCAGTAAATTCCCCAGAGAATTTTGTATGTAGTTATCATGTCTCCCTTAACTCCTCTGTCTTCCAGCGACGTGAGGTGCAATTCACGCTGCCTTACCGCATAACTCATGCCTCTTAGTTCTGGAACACCAGCGAGCCACCGTTTTCTCTGGCTATGTATTCTGTCCCTCACTCTTCCACATGTATACATATGCTCTCCTTCTCTTGCATACCAATTGCACACCTTGCATACTGAAAGTTGTAATTGTTTCCTGCACCTGAAAGCCATCTGCAGGTGTAAATGTTGGAGAGAAACTCGGCATCCGGTCATGTAAATATTTACACTTCAAAGTGAATGAGTTGTCATTGTGGCCAAACCTGCTTTGACTGTATTCAGTCTCATGCCCCTTACATTGTGCTTATTCCTATACCCAAATCACTCGACTGTAAGAAAGTGCGAGAACGGGTCAACGTGAACGGGTCAAGCACCTCACGTCGCTGGAAAACAGAGGAGTTAAGGGAGACATGATAACTACATACAAAATTCTCTAGGGAATTTACAGGTAAAGAGAGACTATTTAACACTGGTGGTACTGGCACAAGAAAGAACACAGGTCAATTAGGTATCCTCCACCACACCTTGCAAGGAAACAGGTAAATAAAACATATATAATATATTGTACCAAATATTTAAAATGTATTACTTTGCCTAGTATGTAAGCCCGATTTGCCTAACAGGTAGAATGATTTTCATTATTTTCAAATATTTCTATCCAAATTGGTTTATTTTAATTAATATTAGGTTGGGTTAGGGTAGGTTATGATAGGTCAAGTTAGGATAGATTAGGTTAGGATTGGTTAGGTTAGGTTAGGTTAGGTTTAATTAAATTAAAATGTTAATTTTAACTCAAGTTAAACAAGAATAAAATATTTCATTATTTAATGGAAAGGTTTATCATTCCATAATAAAGCAATTTAAAGGTAATATCAGGAAAACTCGGCTTGTTATGCAACTTTACTTATTAGGTACAATTTATATATTTGTGTGTGTGTGTGTGTGTGTGTGTGTGTGTGTGTGTGTGTGTGTGTGTGTGTGTGTGTGTGTGTGTGTGTGTAAGAAAGAAAAAGAAACAAATCTTCAAGAATATATATTCTGTACAAATTATTACACTTACGTCAAATACCTTGATAATTTCGGATAAAAAGAAGCATAAAGTAATATGTATGACATTACTTAACTTACAAAACAGTACTTAAAGGAACATCCTGGTACAGCAAACGCTTGTAAAGTGACCATGTACCCGAAATATTTTACAGCAACTATGGATAATTATCCGCCCTAATATATGCCCCTAATTAAAATAAGATTTTAATTAGGGCATATATTAATTATGTTGGCCAATGAAATCATGTATTATTTGACTACAGTATATAGTTCTGAAACCTTAAACGATATTACATAGCTTAGCTGCCGTTAATACATAAAATATATTAGTCAAACTTAAATTAATATGCGAACAAGCCTGAATGGTCCCCAGGACAATATGCAACAGAAAACTCAGTTGCATATTGTCTCAGTTTCTTCTCAGTTTTAAATTAATATGTATGGTCCTTGCGTGCTCAACTCAACCGTATTCTTGGATTAGAATACCTGATTCTTATTACTTGAGGGCTTAATTGTTGCTACATTTACATATACCAATATTTGCAGGCGATGAGTCACAATAACGTGGCTGAAGTATGTTGACCAGACCACACACTAGAAGTTGAAGGGACGACGACGTTTCGGTCCGTCCTGGACCATTCTCAAGTCGATTGTTACCAACATTTACAAGACTGTACAATGGGTATTATACAATACGTGTAAATGGTATAAAAACATTTCAGTACGATACTCGGTTTCCGTAGCATGAAACGCGATTGTATTTGAGGTTTAAAAATAATTATTGATTTTTGTTTACGATTCAATATGAGAACAATGGCTGGAATTCAATACTTGTGTTAAGAGCAGATAAAGAGTTGTTGATACAATTGTGAAGTTCTTGGGAATTATTTGCATTTCTTGATGGAATATCAATTGGAAATACCAACCCAAAAAATTATTGAGAATTTGCTGAAGGAGATTATCACAGATTATTAATTACTTTGGGAAGAGGATTACTTGTTTAATAGCAATTAATCAAGATATTTTTTTTAGGGGTTATATTTGTATGCTCAGTTTTCTCTTGCTTGGGTGCTCAATTCTCTTATGCTAAGGGGTCAGTCCTCTTATGCTTGGGTGCTCAGTCTTATCATGCTAAGGGCTCAGTCCTCTTATGTTTGGGTGCTCAGTCTTCTCATGCTAAGGGGTCAGTCCTCTTATGTTTGGGTGCTCAGTCTTATCATGCTAAGGGCTCAGTCCTCTTATGTTTGGGTGCTCAGTCTTCTCATGCTAAGGGGTCAGTCCTCTTATGTTTGGGTGCTCAGTCTTCTCATGCTAAGGGGTCAGTCCTCTTATGCTTGGGTGCTCAGTCTTCTCATGCTAAGGGCTCAGTCCTCTTATGCTTGGGTGCTCAGTCTTCTCATGCTAAGGGGTCAGTCCTCTTATGCTTGGGTGCTCAGTCTTCTCATGCTAAGGGCTCAGTCCTCCTATGTTTGGGTGCTCAGTCTTCTCATGCTAAGGGGTCAGTCCTCTTATGTTTGGGTGCTCAGTCTTCTCATGCTAAGGGCTCAGTCCTCTTATGTTTGGGTGCTCAGTCTTCTCATGCTAAGGGCTCAGTCCTCTTATGTTTGGGTGCTCAGTTTTCTCATGCTAAGGGCTCAGTCCTCTTATGTTTGGGTGCTCAGTCTTCTCATGCTATGGGCTCAGTCCTCTTATGTTTGGGTGCTCAGTCTTCTCATGTTTGAGTACTTGGTGTTTTTCTCATGCATTTATGCTCAGTCTCTTGTGTTTGCGTGCTCAATCCTCTCATGGTTTTATGCTCAGTCCTTCTCCCCTTTTTGGGTGCTCAGGTTGGCTCAAATGCTTGTGCAGTCAGGCTTCCTCTTATGCTTTTCTCTTCTCTCTTCTTTACAGAAACAAGTCTTTGCAGTATATGCTTCAGTAGTGACCTAACCTGATCTTTTTTTCTCTAGCATTCAAAGATTTTCTCTCTGCATATGTCTATCTCTCTCTCTTGGTCAGAGAGACAGAGATCTGTCTCTCTCTCTCTCTCTCTCTCTCTCTCTCTCTCTCTCTCTCTCTCTCTCTCTCTCTCTCTCTCTCTCTCTCTCGTTCTTCCTCCTAATGCTTTTACCTGTTATCGTTACGACATGAACTCCAAAGCAACGAGACGACCGTTCTCACTACTAACGAAGTGTTCTCTGGATCCGTTCATCGTTCAATGATGAACGTTACGTTGCAATATGGCTGTCGTGAGTCGAACGTCCCGCGGCCCAAATGCTTAAACCGTTAATTAGGCATTCCCAGCCGTTGTATTTTTGGGATAAATATGACGTAATTTGTGGAAGCAAATTACGTCCTCGTGGAGTTTTGGGGACTGGGATAAGAGGAGGATAATAGGTCATTTGTTGGTAGTTGTGGGGCAGTGATAAGGGATTATCTACTGATGTTAGTCCTCTACTCGTTCAGTTTGGTCTTCTTGGCGTCTGGGTTCATTTGTTGGCCTTTTTTCCTTTTATCTGTCTTGCCTCTTCCTCTTTCTTTGTTTCTACCTTTATATTCCGTACTCTAAATCCTTAGCCTTTCTCCCCTCCTCCCTGATTCTCTCCTATCCAACCCTACGTCTTTCTGTCTCTGTCTCTCTCTCTGTCTCTCTCTCTCTCTGTCTCTCTCTCTCTCTCTCTCTCTCTCTCTCTCTGTCTCTCTCTCTCTTTTTTTTCTCTCTCTGTCTGTCTGTCTCTCTCTCTCCCCCACTCTCTCTCTCTCCCCCACTCTCTCTCTCTCTCTCTCTCTCTCTCTCTCTCTCTCTCTCTCTCTCTCTCTCTCTCTCTCTCTCTCTCTCTCTCTCTCTCTCTCTCTCTCTCTCTCTCTCTTTTCCAACTCTCATTTCCTCACTCTCTTGTCAGTCTGTCCTGCTGGTGATTTCTCTTATCTGGTGAGCTCTTTCTCTTCCCTCATTTCCCCTCTGGTGAGCCATATATCATCCCCTCTTCTCATTCTCTCTCTTATCTCTCTCCCATTCCTGCCCCCATTTCCCATCCTAGTGGCCCCTAAGGCGACCCCTCTCACCTTCCCATCACCTTGCCTATTGGCGTTTATTTTAGGTTCCCATCCCTTCCTCTGTCTGTCTCTGTATCGTCTTCCTGCTCGGTCTCTCGCCGTTTTTCCTTTCCTTATCTGCCTACTCCTGTCTCTCACATCATTCTTCCCCTTTCCTACTTTTTTCTTACTATCTCTTTCCCTCTTATCAATATCTTCAATCCCTCTCTATATCTAAATTCTACCCTATTTGCATCATTACTTTATCCCTCCATTCATCCTTCTGTCCTTCCCTTTCTCTCTCTCTCTCTCTCTCTCTCTCTCTCTCTCTCTCTCTCTCTCTCTCTCTCTCTCTCTCTCTCTCTCTCTCTCTCTCTCTCTCTCTCTCTCTCTCCCCACTCCTCTCTGCCTCCTATAATCACGTGTATTTGCCAAACTTTACGGTTCCCTCGGGTGAGTTAGTGACACCAGCCACAATCCTGTAATGGGCCTCGGGGCAGGGAATCACGTGAGTCAAGCTCCAGAAATAGCCAAGACAAATGATACTAATTTCTCTGAGCGAGTTTTGAGGGAGGAGTCTGGCTCAATATCGATTTGCTCATTGAGGGGTTTCCCTGTCTTTCTGGCTCTCTCTCTCTCTCTGTCTCTGTCTCTCTCTGTCTCTCTGTCTCTCTCTCTCTCTCTCTCTGTCTCTCTCTGTCTCTCTGTCTCTCTGTCTCTCTGTCTCTCTCTGTCTCCCTGTCTCTCCGTCTCTCTGAGTGTCTCTCTCTCTGTCTCTCTGTCTCTCTCTCTCTGTCTCTCTCTGTGAGTGTCTCTCTCTCTCTCTCTCTCTCTCTCTCTCTCTCTCTCTCTCTCTCTCTCTCTCTCTCTCTCTCTCTCTCTCTCTCTCTCTCTCTGTCCGTTGGATCTATTATTATTAATCTTAATAATGTAGGCTTATATAATTTGTTTTTTTATTTCATATTAATTGTGTGATTAGCTAATTGTTGTGGGTTGTATAAAAACCTTTGCCCTTAAACCTACTTATATTCACCTAAATGTGTGATATTACTTTATCTTCTTGAATATATTATAACATGATAAATACTAGGTTTTCAGTCCACTTCTTTAGTAAATACAAGTTGGTTTTCGTTAATAGAAAGT